CCACTCATCCAGCCCTAGGAGGTATTATTTTATTATTTTTCTACTCCTGCCTCATTCTCTGTAAAGCCAACCTTGATTCCTCCTTCTAGAATCAATAACTCCCTCCAAAATATTCCAACAATGCGCTTCCTTTAATCTCTACTAGGCATTTATTACAGTCTAACTCAAGTTACCATGAAATGAATCCATGCTTGCTGGGCTATTAAACAATGATTTCCTCATGGAGAGAAGGTTGCTCTTGGCAGAAGGCAGGTGTTCAGCACGTGTAGAGTGAACAGATGAATAAAATTACCGCCCTTTCCAAGAGCTTCATGATCATATTCCTGGCTACACATAAAATCTCTCTCTAAAATTCATTGGCAGATTACGTGGATTCCTATCTCAGCTATACTACTTACTAGCAATATGTCCTTTGGTTTTGTTTCTTCATCTGAATAAAGGGAAACGAATAAGTACTATTCTGCAGAACAGCAGTTAAGGATGAAACCATGTACCTGGCATGTCAGAGTCAGTTGAAAAATGTTGGCTGTTATTACTATTGTTAATAATAATGATCCGTTCGTAGGGCATTAGCTCATGCTATATATACCCTAAAGGCCACTTCTGGAAGACCCTTTGGTTTTCAGGTCGCAGGGACTCCCTTGGTCCTAACATGAAAACGCCAGGCTAAGCCACTGGTCCATGTCCCCCCTCATGAGGTGAGCTATGCCTGCAGCAGACAAAGTCATGCCTTAGCTATGGAGGTGGCTGTCATCACCAGCTCTGAGCAGCCAATCACAGGTGCATGTATTGCCCCACTGTGGGAAATAAGAATGGTATGTTCTTGGGTGGCCGTTTTGCTCAGTTGGTTCGAGCGCAGTGCTCTTAACAACAAGGTTGCTGGTTCGATCCCCGCATGGGCCACTGAGCTGCGCCCTCCACAACTAGAATGAAACAACTACTTGACTTCTTGACTTGGAGCTGATGGGTCCTGGAAAAACACACTTAAAAAAAAACAACAAAAGGAATGGTATGCTCTTATAGTCCAGATAATTTGCCGTCCTAGTTTTCATATTGCTCAGCTCTTCTTCCAACGTCAAAATGTTGTTTCAGTACTCAGGACACCTGGACAGAGAGTGGAAAATTGCTTCTTCATTTGTGTCTTATAAGATCCTAATGTAGACTAAGATATCTCTGCTTTTACCAGCAAGCAGCTCCATCGGCCTGACAGCCAGCCCCATTAGTGAATGCATTGCTCTCTGTTAGCATGTTAGCAAATTGCATGGCTTTTGGTTCCTACCAGGCACTGATCAAGCACCTCGTGGCAGGCACTGTGCTCAGTACTGGAGAAATCAAGGACAGGCGAGACATGATCCTTGCCCCTTAGGAGATCACACACTAATGTGGCTCTCAGGCAACTACAACTGATAACAGAATTAGGGTGTGAATTCTGAAGCCAGGAGAAGAGTTAGAAATTGCCTCATCTAACTCCCTCAGTTTTAAAATGAGCAAGTGAAGCTAAAGAGATTATGTGATCACCTCAAGACCAGCAGTTCTCACACTTGGGGTGGGTCTCAGTTTTGTACCTCCCAGACAAGTGACTTTTCTATTAAATAACTCTGAGGGGACTCATCCCTTCCAATCAGTCATACCTAAGCCTGAGAAGTATCTTTGATCCAACAGTGTATAGCAGACAGGCTGCGCCTGACCCAGAGCTTCTAAGGCTTGTCCTCGATGGAACGTTTCAGACAAGATGTCAGAGTTGAGTTTGATCACTGGGAAAGAGCTCCAAGACATCTGACAATTGTAAAATGCCAGGAAGCCACCACTGTCAAAGTGCAGGACCAACCTGGGAAGAAAAGATCATAAGCGCATATAGTTACAATAGTATTGTCATGTCACACATCCATCCAGCTCCCACTGCATGGTCAGGATTAACCCGGGGGAGCGAAGGTCCCAAAAGAGAAATGGGATGGCTCTGCCAGAATTGTAAGAATTTCAGGGCTAAACGGAATGAAAAGAAAACATATATATAGCTCTTCATTTTTCTGATTATAACAATACATGTTCACTAAAGACAACTTGGGACATACAGAAAGGTCTGAAGTTCAGGAGTTGTGGCTACCTGAACAAAAACAGGGCTTATTAGGAAAAAGGACAGAAAGACAGGTACTAAAGAGGCACCACCTCCAGTCCCAGGCAAGATTTACCCAGAAAGAAACACCCACATATACTCCCATGGGCTTCCTGAACTCCAAGGACAGAGGAGAAACCATATGAACTTTGATAAAGAAATATCTGTAAGGGAAGATAATCAGGCTGGAACTGGACTCCATATCAGAAGGAGAGTAAGATTTATGTAACTGACCTAGATGGTATTCTCATGCGAAAGCAAAAGGATGATTTTAGAGGAACAGGAACTCAGAAAAACATCTACGCATAGTATCAGAGGTAATTAATTACTCAAGGTAAAAATACATACCCAATATAAATTAAATCAGCAAAGATCTCAAGATAGGAGGAGATGAAAACGCCATGAGCAGTGCTGGATTTTGTTGTATTTATTGTGAGATCTAAATAAATAGTAATTATGATAGCGCAACTGACAACTACAACATAAATGCTAGGAAAGAATTCTTGAAACAAAAGATACCTATTTTAATGTTTTTAATATTAATTAGTTTGACTATACATAACTAACATAATGTAGTTAATGAAGTCGAACTAAAATTCTAAACTATCTCAGCAAATGCAGGAGGAGATGGATGGATATGACAGAAAACAAGCAGTGACGTAGAAATATTTTATTTTATTTTAAATTTGTTAAGCATTTATTTCAGCCAAACTGATGACATATGCTGAGGAGCAAGACCTCAAATGCTCTGGAGTAGAAATATTTTAAAGGTCTCATCTCAGAGGGGTGAAAGAGACTGAGCAAAAAACAGTTTCAATAATGAGGGAGAAGAGTTATTAATTTAGCATTATTAAAAATTTGATGGTTGTTAACTAAAAAAAAATATGGTATAATTTAAAGATAAGATTATTACCAACAGAATGAAAATAAATAGCAGTACTTCCAAATTAACAAGGGTAAAGAAAGGCAGAAAAGAAACTTGATAAATCCAAAAAAGAAAAGAAACAAGGTGGCCAGCCGAGTGGCACGTTGGTTAAGAGCTGGTTTGGGACGCCAGAGGGCCCCAGTTCGGATCCCACATATGAGGACCAGTGACACTGCCCTCCACAGCTAAGATGCTGAACAACAGCTCGACCTGGAGCTGGGCTGCCGTGAGTCGCCGCGACGGCGTAGGCTGCAGCCCNAAAAAAAAAAAGTAAATATAAGGAAGCAAAAAGGATTTAAATTAGATGAGAGTGTCAGGACTGTAAGAGGTTGTTGACGCAGGCTGCAGGCAATGGTCTGAAAACAGATAGTAGTGAGGCACGTTTGAACACAGATTCAAATGATGCGTAGAGAAGTTTTGGATCCTAGCTGATTATAATAGCATTTTCTATGCTGTGTTCCAAGGAATAGTAAAGGTAAAATGAGTTTCACGGTAAAATAAGGTTTGGAAACACCAGAGCAAAGTGTGCTTTATTGAGGAATTTCTTGGAGACTTTATGAGCTCCATAAACCTACAAGGGATACAGCATGCAGTGTTTCTCAAACTTTTTTGATCACAGAACCCATCTCTTGAGACATCATGGGTGATGCTTCTTCCTTGGATCATATTTTCAGAGCTAATGGATCAAAGGAAACTTGGCTGCTCTGAGGGACATACCCAGAAAATGTCAGCCAGGACTTGCCCAATGCCCATGGTATAGCCGTCGAAGCCTGATAGAGAAGGGACTACGAAGTGCGAGTGGTTAAGTGTGTGCCTTTGGCCCTTGTAAACCGTGTGACTTCAAGCAAGGTCCTCAGCCTCTCTAGAGTTTAATTTCCTCATCTATGTTACAAAGGTAGTAACAGTGAGTACCTATCTTCATGGGTTTTTTTTATTTTCTTTTTTTTGCAGATTATATGGCAAGAACGAGGCTAAGTGCTTTACATGGTAAACACTCAGTCTATATGAGCTATTATACAGGTCATAGGTCTGCCATAAACTGGGTTTCCCCACTGTTGACAACTCTTGATTACTTAAGACAGATGAGAATAAAGGAAAGTCACAACTATCAGCCACAGTTTTCAGTTTCACTCACACAAATCACTATCTTCTCCTTGCCAGAGGCCGAGACAACAGAAGTGAAATCCATCTCTGCTTCACCCGATCTCCTGCCAGTGCAGTGCCCTGCAGGGCAGAAGAACGGCTGAGCATTCACCCCTCCTCGTGCCCTGCTCCTTTTAAGTGAATCCATCAAGCCACCTCAACAAGCCCAACACAGCCACCTTCACAAAGAGCTCAGTTAGTTATAGTGTAAGAACCATTACTGCCAAATACATGTGACAAAAGAAAAATAACCAAGAGCTTTATTTTCATGTCCTAGTTTCTTTTCTTCCAGCTGTTGCTAACCGTACACTGTGTCTCTACAATCTGTGATTCCTGCATTGTTCCATATATCAACAATCACAAATATGTCAAATACACCCTTGAAAAAGAAATCAGCAGCTTTCTTCTAAAGCCCGCTGGGCCCACCAGGGAGGTGGCCAGCTCCCTGGTCACCCTTATCCCCCTGCCCCTTCTCCTGGTGTCGCCATCCCACAGGAAAGGGCCCGGGCAGGAGGCTGAGTCCCAGCACGACCCTCATGCTACTCCGTCTTCATCCCTGGATGCGTCCAGAGGAATGCAGGAAGGCAAATCCGTGCTCCTGTTTCTCAAATGGAGGGCCTTCAAACCAGCCAACATTTCAAAAACAAAACCAAACCAAACAGAGCAATGTTGGGGCACAGCTGTCTTCCACAGGCTTTCATCTTAATCACAGGGGGGGGGTTTTCCCCTGTCATCATGACTTTTCCCATCTTCCCCAATGGCAGAATTAGATAGGAGAAATTAACCAACACTTGGGGGGAAAAAAAAACCTAACCCTGTGGAAACTCTACCTTAGACGTAACTCCAGTGACATGAACATCAACAGGACTGACAGCCCTCTGACCCATGGTCCCCTCTAATCCCTGTACCCAGTTCCAGTCCCTGCCCATAGCCCCTTTCTTGACACTCAGGCATCATGGTCCCTAAAGAACAAGGTTCTGTGAAGGAAGGGCCTGAACCCCTTGGGAGAGCTGGCCCTGCTCTGGCTCGTCGGGCGGCAGCCTGGGCTGGCACTGTGGGCACCACCACGTGAGCCTCTGGAAGCCACCTGGAGGCCCAAAGGCCTCCTTCATGACCTGATGCCCGGCAGGGCACTGCTCTTTCTGGTAGATCTGTGGGTGCTGCTGTCTGCCTTGGAACTTGCCCTGAAGCCAGTTGGCACTGAACTCCACCACATGATCCACGAGGACCTCAAGCTGCGGAGGACTGAGGAGTGAACCAAGAGCAAGAGGATGGATCCCAGCTCTGTACAAGGCTTCATTCTTAATGATGTTCCCTGAAAGAAAGCAGAAAGAAGA